AAGGCTGAAAAAAACGGCTGAAAAAAAGACTAAGTCCCATCGCCGAATGGGACTTAGTCTCTGCAGCTGAAATAAGGCTGAAAAAGACGGCTGAAAAAAAGACTAAGTCCCATCGCCGAATGGGACTTAGTCTCTGCAGCTGAAATAAGGCTGAAAAAAACGGCTGAAAAAAAGACTAAGTCCCATCGCCGAATGGGACTTAGTCTCTGCAGCTGAAATAATTTCCCATTTACTGAACCAAGTGGGAAATAGCAAGGCAGGCACAAAGGGTTTGCACCAGGTCTGGGGACACAGGGGACACCGTCTTAAAGGGGCCGTGTCCCCAACAAGTCTGGGACACGGCCTTAAAGGGGCAGTGTCCCAATCTTCCTGATGTCCCAAAAAAGGTGTTTAAAGGGCCAGCACCAGTCACATAAAGAGTCCATAAGCCCCAATATGCCCACTGACAGTCTTAAAGGGCCATACACACCAAATAAAAGTGCATACATTTTCACAATCTCCCAGGGGCCATAGTCATGCGGGAGGAGGCTGGCAAAGAGGCTTCTCCACAACCCAGGGAAACAGGGCAATTTGCCATTTAAAGGGCCCGTTACAAATAGCAGTTTGTAACAAGGTGTCAATCCATATCTGCCAAGTGACCCGATGTAGGGGGAACAGTCCCTATTCTGCTCTGTGTCAGTGTGTATCAGGGATCCTTAGGACAGGTGTCAATCCATATCTGCCAAGTGACCCCATGTAGGGGGACCAGTCTCTATTCTGCTCTGTGTCCGTGTGCATCAGGGGCTCTGAGGACAGGTGTCAATCCATATGTCAAGGTGTCAACATGTCATATGTCAGGTGTCAATCCATATTGATTGTGATTTAGGAATGTTAGGTGATTTCTGCCCTTTATGGATTAAAACCAGACTCTGTATCAACTGTGTAATTTTCCATGGGAGTTTTGCCATGGATCCCCCTCCGGCATGCCACAGTCCAGGTGTTAGTCCCCTTGAAACAACTTTTCCATCCCTATTGTGGCCAGAAAGAGTCCCTGTGTGTTTTAAAATTCGCCTCCCCATTGAAGTCAATGGCGTTTCGGGCGGTTCGCCGGTTCGCGAACATTTGCGGAAGTTCGCGTTCGCCGTTCGCGAACCGAAAATTTCGGGTTCGCGACATCACTAGTCCTAATGTGTTTTATACCCCACCTACTGTAGACTGTAAGCTCGTTTGAGCAGGGTCCTCTTCAACCTATTGTTCCTGTAAGTTTTCTTGTAATTGTCCTATTTATAGTTAAATTCCCCCCTCTCATAATATTGTAAACTGGTACGGAATCTGTCGGCGCTATATAAATTGCAATAATAATAATAATGTTTTAAAGAAAACTAGAGCAGACAGAAAGAAATGAAGAGCAGATCCTGAGAGAGGCAGAGAAGATGAGGGGATTGGGGTAAGGAAAGTTCGGCATGACAGTGCCACTTTAAAGACCACCCATCAAAACCAAATCATGTGTTCAATGTGTCTATGACTTGCCCAAAGAAGCATGTGCCAAACTGGGCGACCTCTGTAGCCACTTACCAAGAGATGCACATCTGGATATATCAGCCTGGAAAACAACACAGGCTGCAACTCAAGAAGAATGGCAAATCGCATGAATGTAAAGAGGAGTGCTTATATCATGTATATTATTATTTTAGGAAAACATTTCATGAACATGTTTTGTTTTTAAATGTGTAAAGAAAGTTAATAAATGTTTTTTTTATTTGTGTTTAAAGTGCACATTTTAAACAGTGAGTGATACAAGACAAAAATTATTCACTGATATATTAATATACACTGTTCTTGTCACTAAAAATTTAAGTGACAGTAATTTTTTTAGATCAATGTTACTTAGAGATATTATTCATCTCTCATGCTGCAATGCTTGAAGAGTTGTGATAGAAGGCAAACGATGTGTGTAAACACGTGCTTCACCATGCTTGGGAGGTGGATTTCAGATGTTTTCTGATTTTATTGCATCCTTAAACCAGTTCAGTACCATCTCTTTATTTTCATTCACCCATCTAATGTTTGCTTTAGTCTTCTCTATGGCTTGTTCCAACGATTGAGCAGCTGTTCCAAACCCACTTTCTTGGTTATCAAATTTGAACTGCTCCAGCTAAAAACACAAAAAAATAAAAACAAGAAGCACGAAACAGGATGAACATGATCATCTATTTAATTCAGCGTAGTATTTGTAGTATGTACAAATTAAATTTTACTGTACTATTTTAAACACATTAACATTCCATATACAATGACCATGTCATAATGCAATGGATAGTTTAATTCTCTAGTACTCAATTTGTCTAGTAATGAATGGGAAGAAGATATTTCTTTAACCCCTTAAGGATGGAGCCAAATGTACACGTTGTGAACAAAACAAAATGTAAACAAAACCTGGCATTTGCGCTACATGTCTGTCCAACTGTAATTCACCTCTTTCATTTTAAATACACCCACCCTTATTATATATCATTTTGTTCAGGAGAAACAGGGCTTTCATTTAATAACAAATATTTAGCTATGAAACATAATTTATTATGAACAAAATTAAAAAAACTGTGAGAAATTTAAATTTTTTTAAAAAAATTGTAGTTCCGCCTCACATTTTAGCTTTCAATGTCATAATACTGTTAGGTTTTACTGCAAAAAAATGCACATATTTGTAATCAGTGATGTCTCACGAGTACAACAGTACCCCCCATTACCAGGTTTTATGGTGTTTTGGAAAGTTACAGGGTCAAATATAGAACGTTCCATTTTCACATTGAAATTTGCCAGATTAGTAATGTTACCTTTGAGATGGTGTGGTAGCCCAGGAATGAGAATTACCCCCATAATGGCAGACCATTTGAAAAAGTAGACAACCCAAGGTATTGAACGTGGGGTATGTTTAGTCCTTTTTAGTAGCCACTTAGTCACAAACACTGGCCAAAGTTAGCGTTCATATTTGGTTTTTTTTTGTGAAAAAAGCAAAAAACTAATATTTGGCCAGTGTTTGTGACTTGTTTGCGGTTATTTGTATTTTATACATAGATATATATAGAATGTCATTCTAAGTGTATTTTGTTAATAATATATATATATTAATAACAAAATACAGTTAGAATGAAATTACATATGAATATATAATTTATATGAAATTTTGTTTCAATATTTTATTTATTTTATTATTTAATTTATTTATTATTGTAATTATACGTATATATATATATATATATATATAATATATGTGTATATATCTATTATATATATATATATATATATAATATATATACATATTATATATGTAACGTCATTCTAAGTGTATTTTAATATTAATATATACTTATATTAATATTAAAATACATTACGTATATTTAATTTATTTTTACACATGTTTATTTTTAATTTTTTTTCATTTCCCACCAGCAGGGGGACTGTCTGATATTTCAGACAGCCCCCCTGCTGGCAAATCCATAGTCAGCTATGGGGGGCCATGTGATCGCTCTTTGAGAGCGATCACATGGCCCCCGGGGGCCTCATTCGCAGCCCTCCAGAAGAGGATCGTGGCGGAGGTAAGTACCGCCGGTCCTCTGGGGCTCAAAGCCGTTACAGCGTTCTATGCCGCCGCAACGGCTTTAAAGCCCATTAAAGCCGCGACGGCATAGAACGCCGTAACGGCGGGAAGGGGTTAACAGACAGTGAGAACTAAATAGAACACGTGTGTAACAGATAAGTGTACAGAATATCCAGACTTAGCTTTAGAAAGGTCATATCCATGAATTAATATGTCATCGTGTCGGAAGGAGGATAAAGCTTTTCTTAATGTCTGCTGGTTTATCTTGATTATTGTTGTTTAAATACATTTCCAGTGAAATTAGACTTTTTTTCCTCCAATAAACGTTTATTTTTCTTACCTGTTGCAGATCGAAGTCAGTGGAGAAACGGAGAGTCACCTGATGAAGTATGTTACGAAAAGAGAACGTGGACCCTCCAAGCCTAAATAAGGAAATTCATAGATAAATAAATAAGTATTAAATAATTATAAAATTTATTTCAGGGAGAGCACTGGCAACTTTTAGCCTGGAGTGGGGGAGTATGAATGAGTGGCCATTTTTGTGCACATAGTTACCGATATCTGTGTGGATAGTACCTGCTCATTCAGTGCATGCAATATATGGGTTGGGCACATAGTGGCAGTAGGAGTGGCATGCTGTGATATCAGCTTCCATTTGTATAATGCATGGTGTGACGGAACACTTACATAGATGTATGCATGTCTTATAGACTCTGACTGATTCCTGCTGCATCATAGAAACATAGAATGTGACGGCAGATAAGAACCATTCGGCCCATCTAGTCTGCCCAATTTTCTAAATACTTTCATTAGTCCCTGGCCTTATCTTATAGTTAGGATAGCCTTATGCCTATCCCACGCATGCTTAAACTCATTCACTGTGTTAACCTTTACCAATTCATCTGGAAGGCTATTCCATGCATCCACCACTCTCTGAAAAGTGATACTTCCTGATATTATTTTTAAACCTTTGTCCCTCTTATTTAAGACTATGTCCTCTTGTTGTGGTCGTTTTTCTTCTTTTAAATATAGTCTCCTCCTTTACTGTGTTAATTCCCTTTATGTATTTAAATGTTTCTATCATATCCCCCCGTCTCATCTTTCCTCCAAACTATACATGTTAAGATTAGAGTTGAGCGGACACCTGAAGTCAATGCGGACCCAAACTGTTGGGCACTAAAATGCCTCTAAAAAAGTCCTGTAAAGGGCTAGAGGGCTGCAAAAGGAAGTAAAATGGGGGTAAGAGTAGGGCAAGTGCCCTGCAAACAAATGTGGATAGGGAAATCACGTAAAATAACATAAAAATTAAAAATACAGCTGAGCCATAAAATAGCACTAGATGGAATCTTTGATTTTAGCTTTGGAAGAACATAAATCAAAATCTAAAGCATGGCTGTCAGGAGGATCACCAGAATTATCCAATTGAGAGAGGGTTGGAGTGCATGGTATTCTCTTTCATTGTTCAAACTGAGCTCAACTCCTGATGCATGGAGAAAGGGCCTTCACAAACCTCTGCTATTGTGTACATAGTTTATACTAAGTGACCCATAGGTTGAGGAGGCGGTGACCGTGGCGGTGTGGGTGAACGCGGCAGTGGAGGAGGAGGAGGTAGCCAACACTGTTTTTTATTTGTTTGTTTTTTAATTGGGGTAGCCCCCAAAATATTGGGATTTGGGACATATAAAAAAAGAAACATTTGCTGCCTGCAGTGCATTTCTTGCAGTCCTGATGCATGTAAAAATGCTCAATTCCTGATGCATGGAGAAAAGGCCTTCATAAGCCTCTGCTATTGTGTACATAGTTTATACTAAGTGACCCATAGGTTGAGGAGGCGGTGACTAACACTGTTTTTTATATATATATATATATATATATATATATATATACATATATGTTTTTTTTAATTGGGGTAGCCCCCAAAATATTGGGACATATAAAAAATATAAGCAATACTGCCGAAAGTTTAGGGAGACCCGGAAAGGGGAGAAGGACTCCCATGCAGAGTGGGCATGCAGCATCACAAGGGCCACCCAGAACTGGCTCAACTCCCATCAAGCCAAGTTCCCGGAGGAGATCACCCAGCTCGTCATGCTAGAGCACTTTTTCAATGGGCTCCCCAACGACAAGGTGACGACGCATTCATATGTCATCCATATCAACTTTCAATGCCATTTACTGTGCCTACCATGGTGACCACGGGTAACGGGGAATCAGGGTTCGATTCCTGAGAGGGAGCCTGAGAAACGGCTACCACATGCAAGGGAGGCAGCAGGTGCGCAAATGACCCACTCCCGACTACAGGACTCTTTAGTCCACTTGAAATTCTTTAACTCTGATCAATTGGAGGGCAAGCCTGGTGCAGAGCGACTGACCCGTGCGTGCTGCAGCTGAAACTCCACTATCGCCTGCTGCTGCTCGCACAGTCTGTCCAGCATGAGTTACACCTTGTGTGCACGTCGCATATGAGGCGGTGAGCGGGAAGGCCAAAGATACGCTGTAGCGCAGACAGACGAGCAGCAGCAGGGTGAGAACGCCGAAAGCGCGCACAGCCGCTACAGTGAATGTCACATACTGTTCCAAGTTGCGGATCAGTCTGGGGATGGCTTTTGGTAGCCAGTACTCTTTTTACTGAAGCTGCATCAGGGTCCTGGTATGTGGCCGCACAAACGCTGGTGCTCAACACCAGGGGGCGCGCGGTTACCCTGTACCAGACCCTGCTAATCCATTCCACACTGTGACCCCTAACTTCAACATCAGGCATACTGGGTCCCGGTCACCGGACTGCCCTCCTGACCGTGAAACTGCGAATGGCTCGTTAAATCTGTTATGGTTCCTTTTATCGCTCCATCTGTTACTTGGATAACTGTGGGAATTCTAAAGATAATACATGCCGACGAGCGCTAGGGGACAGCCGCTCCGCTTTTGCACCCTGCTCCCTCTTATGCTGTGCTGGTGCCTCTCTGCGACCACCGCCTCTTCCTCCAAACTGCACACGTCACTCGCATGACCTTGATTCCATGTGGGGTCTATGACCTCATCATCCTCCACATCATCTTCCACCCACTCCTCAACTCTGCCCTCCTTGCCGGTCTGCACACTGCAGAAAGCCACAGCAGTTGGCACCTGTGTTTTTCCAGCATGTAAAGTCTGCAAAGGACATATGGAAATTGTTTTAGAATTGTGTCCAGGCAACAGTTTTCCCTATAAACTGACCTCTCAGTTTGACTTGTGAGGGTATTGCCCCTGAATTATAATATTGCTTTTTTGGTATTTGACGGTTCTATTTGAATGTTAGATATGAAGTGCAGGCCGCAAATGTACTATTTAGCACCCAAAAAAATTTGAATTGGTCAAACTGCACTGTAACCACAGTATTTGACGGTTCTATTTGACTGTTAGATATGAAGTGCTCACTCCAAATTTACTTTTTATCACCCAAAACAATTAGAATTTTTCAAAGTGCGCTGAAAGCACAGTATTTGACGGTTCTATTTGACTCTCAAATATATGGTGTACCGCAGGCCGCAAATGTACTATTTAGCAGCCACAAAATTTGAATGTTTAAAAATGCTATGTCACAGCACTATTTGACTCTCTGATATGAAGAGCACGCCTCAAAATTTACTATTTAGCAGCAAAACAATTATAATTTTTACACCTGCGCTGTAACCGCACTATTTGACGCTTCTATTTGACTCTCAGATATGAAGAGCACGCCCAAATTTACTATTTAGCAGATTAGCAGCAAAACAATTATAATTTTTTACAACTGCGCTGTAAGCTCACTATTTGACGCTTCTATTTGACTCTCAGATATGAAGAGCACGCCCAAAATGTACTATTTAGCAGATTAGCAGCAAAACAATTATACTTTTTACAACTGTGCTGTAACCGCACTATTTGACGCTTCTATTTGACTCTCAGATATGAAGAGCACGCCCAAAATTTACTATTTAGCAGTTTAGCAGCAAAACAATTAGAATGTTTACAACTGCGCTGTAACCGCACTATTTGACGCTTCTATTTGACTCTCAGATATGAAGAGCACGCACAAAATTTACTATTTAGCAGCAAAACAATTAGAATGTTTACAACTGCGCTGTAACCGCACTATTTGATGTTTCTATTTGACTCTCAGTATCGCAAACTAACAGCCTAATTGATAGTTTCAAACAGCAATCTGGGCCAACTGACAAGAAAATCGCAACAGCAGCATGTTGGACAGGTTTAATTATTTATTTATTTTACCTTTTACCTTTTCTCATGTTGGAACATCTTTGTGGAATATTTTCTACCCAATATTTTATGTTTTACTAGAATTACCTATTATTATTTTTTGATGTGAATAAAGTCTTATTTTTAACCAATACTAATTTCTACAAGTCATTTTCGATATAGATTTTTAAAGTATCATTCTGGTACCAACACGAAACATCTTAACATCTATTCCGACCGCTACTGTTGCGATTTTCTTGGCAGTTGGCCCAGATTGCTGTTTGAAACTATCAATTTAGTGATGTACCGAACGGTTCGCTGGCGAATGGTTCCTGGCGAACATAGCATGTTCGCATTCGCCACGGCGGGCAAACATATGCGCGGTTCGATCCGCCCCTATTCGTCATTGTAACGGACCATTTTTGCACAAAAGGGGTAAAAACCGTTTAGGCGATTGGCCCCCTTTCCAGAGATACAGGCACAGCTACCGCAGAACACCAAACTCCCGAACTGCATACAAAATAGCACTTCAACTCCCGAACTGGAACCTCCCAAATAGCTGCTAGCAGACGAACAGGAAAAGCAGACAATCAGCTTACACTCCTGGCAATCAGTCTCTAACAGCATACAGTGAATCCCCCCAAGAACGAGACAAGGCTCTGTGTTGAGGGTCAAGCAGTGGTCTGAGGTGCTGGCACACCCAGCCTGGTTTTTATTACAGTCTTGCAAATACAGGACCGCCCACAGGGAGGTATAAAACAACCAATCACATCACAGTTACATCCCACATATTCCCTCCCCTTATCCTGAGAGGAAACTCAATTACACATACAGTTAAAACATACTTTCTACCCAACTTTCATAACTCTAAAACCATACATCACATTCACATAAAATTACATATTCACAATCAATCCATTCAGGGGAACAACTTATTAAAAAATGGCACGAATCAGACCAGGGGTTCAAAAGTTAAGGGAAAGTCCTTTGTGACTAAATGAAGCATGGCTTTCTGGCCCAAACCAGTTTCAGAGTCTTCTATCCTGGAGAGTAATTCAATTATCTCCCAGGATAGACACAAGACTCCATTAAGCACATGGTTGCAAAAGACACAAAACACTTTAAAATACATAAAGTCACATTTACACATAACACACAGACATTTCACATATTCCCAGATAGCTGGGATCTGAGTGCACATTATTAGATGAATGGCACTCAGATCACACAAATAAGCCTTTCTGCAGGGGAAATAAACGGTTTAACCTGCAGGGCCATAGTCCAAAGGGAGCAGGCGAGCAACCAGGCTTCTCCAGTTCACAGTGGCGAGGTTGGTTTCGCCACACTGGGGGTATACAATATGATATAATATTAATAATTTTATGGGGAAGGGGTAGGAACAAGAAAGTTCTGAGATTCTGAGGGGGTAACACTAAGTAGAAAGTCACAAAATAGATAGGTGCTTGCCTACTGTAATTATCAGAGGTTAGTGCAAAGCAGAGCCCAGGCGCACGTTTCGCCGATAAGGTGGCTCTTCCCCCTTGAAGAGCCGCCTTACCGGCGAAACGCGTGTCGGGGCGCTGCTCTGCACTAAGCTCTGATAATTACTACCTGAAGATTTTTTGTTTACAATTATAACTTGGACATAATGTTCTTTTGGAGTTGTATAGACAGGGCACTTTCATGACTTATCCTTTCCTAAATGGTGCTTATCTTAGATTATCAGATAGCTTTTTAACACAGATTAGAAAGTCACAGTTTAGTGGTCACATGGCCATAGATCGCTATCAATGCAGAGTAGGCACCTGCCTGCCCAGAACGACAAGCCGCTACTCTGCTTCCATGTCGGGAGGACAGGGGTAGTGATCTGTGAAGCAGCTCTCCCGTCCTCCCGCGAGCAATCAGTGTGGAGCATTGCCGCGCGTTACCATGGCAACGCTCCACACAGCATCGCACGGGTGGGAGGACAGTAGAGCTGCAGGACCTGTCCCTCTTACCACCACTGGACCACCAGGGATTTATGTGTGTCCCCCTCCTTCACATACGGTAAGCAGAAGAGAGGGGGGGATACAGATTGTAATATATTTGCAGCCCTCCCACACCAACACACACAGCAGCCCCTACCTACACAGCATCCCTTTCACACACAGCAACCCTCTCATACAGAGCACCTAGCACCTCTCTCCCCCCCACACATACACACAACACCCCCTCACTCATACATACAGCACCCCCCACACACAGCACCCCCACACACACACACACACAGCACCCCCACACACAGCACCCTCCTCACATACACCCAGCACCCCCACACACACCTCCCTAGGAAAAGACCCCACACACACAGCACACAGCACCCCACACACACAGCACCCCAATCAAGACACACACACACACACAGAACCCTCTCACACACAGAGCACCCAGGTAGACCCCACACACATCATACACACACACAGCATCCCCCACACACACACATCACCCTCTGCCACACACACAGCACCCCCACACACAGCACCTCCTCACACAGAGCACACAGCACCCCTCCACACACACACACAGAGAGCACACAGCACCCCTCACACACACACACACACACAGAGCAACCTCCCTCAGACACACACACAGCACCCCACACACAGAGACACACGAGACATCACCCCATTGACACACAGCACCCCCACACACACAGCACCCCCACACACAGAACCCTCAACAGAGCACACCCAGACCAAACACACACACAACACCCCTCACACACCAACATCCCCAGCCACACAGCACCTCTTCACACACAGCACCCCTTCAACACACAAAAGGTTAACTCCCTTCACACACAGAGCACCCAGCACCCCCCACACACACACTCCCCACACACACACACACAGCACAGCACCCCCTCACACACACACACACACACACATACAGAGCAACCCTCTCGCACACACACAGCACCCCTCACACATACACAGCACCCCTCATACACAGCACTCCACACACACTCCGCACCCATACACACAAACACATACACTGCACCCCTCAATGCAGCATGTGTGT